TTATTAAATTAAGTAATAATCGATTATTAGCTTATTATTAAGCTTTAGATTAATTAGTCAAGTCCGTAAATATAATTAACTAATATTAATTTTTCTTGGAAAATTATAAAAATAATAAATATAAAGTTTTGCATATTTGACTCGAAATCATTTAATAATTGGCCTTAATGCAGACAAAGTAAGAGCTGGACATGATTCGTTTGATACATATATTAATTTGGACTTTTAAGGCTTAGCCTGTCTAAACTCCTACGTGGAAATTGTAATTAGGTACGCATTTATTATAATTAATTATCAAGTTGATCGTGTAATGCACAAGTGGACGCACGTATATGTTATCACTTACCATATGATAATGATATACATACATACATACATATATATATATAATTATTTAATTATATCATTAACTTAAATTAATTAATATTTTCTTACAGATTAATTTCTATGATTTGAAAATCCTAGTACTTGCCATAAGATTTTTATTCACCTGTCGTATTAGCCGCTGAAATGAATTATTTGGACAAATAATAATTAATAATCCTATTTTCTACAATGAATATAGTTTTCTATTACTAGGAAAAATAGAATGATCACTAACGGAATGATTTTTGAGTATTTAATAGATGGACTGATTTTTGAATATATTAGTAATAATAATATAATATACCCACCATATTTTATATTCAAAACTCCAATATTTTAAGTTAATTATTCTCAAACTAAGTTATAATATTTTAATCTTGTATGCAATATTACTAAAAAGATAGTTAATAGCTTTGCATTTTATTTTCATTGTATTATGGATGGAACACAACTTACATTTGTCTCTCAATGACACATTTAACAATCTTCTTTATTATGTAAAAAAGTGGATTTTTCTATTTAGAATAAAAATTTATAAAATATCAAATTATTATAATAAAATAGTTTTATTTTTATATATAAAAATTTATATATATATATAATAAAATAGTTTTATTTTTACTTTTACTTTTACTTTTTATTAATAAATTAAAAAAATAATCCAAAATCGAAAAATATCAATAGAGATAGAAATTAAAACAGTTTAGTCTTCTATCTTATCATTAATCAATCACTAGTTCAATAATGAACCAATAACGAATTGGATTAAATTGGGTTTCCCAAACTAAAATTTGAGTTGTATGACTTCTTATAAAGTGAAAATTCAATTTGCATTGTGATATGACCATTTTTACTTAATTATCCTCAATTGAATTACTCGAGATACTTTATTTTCAAGGTAGACTTCCTAAAATGATAACTTACATCTTATTAGATATTTAAAGAAATACATAATCGAGGCCTTGAATTTTGCCTAATATTATATTTTAGTTCTAAATATTTGTTGTTACAATTTAACCACAAAACTTTTAATTCTATTTTAGAAGCAAACTCCATTAGAATTTTAATTAAAAAATGAAAACATATCTAACATCTACTATTTTACTTAATAATAACAATATCATCAATAAATAATAATAATAATAATAATAATAATAATAACAATAATAATAATAATCATAATAACAATGAAATATTTATTTTAATTAAATATTTATCTTCTCTTTTTACCAAAAAGAGAGGAGGGAGAGAGAAAAAAAAAAAGAAAAATAGCATACAGTCAAATAACATCACAAGCTAATTCCCTTTGTGATGGTGACGGTGCATACGAGATCAATACCCCACTTTAAGCATCGAATAGAAGTGATACATTTCTATTTTTTTTTTCTATCGATATCGTATAACTGCTGGCTCTTTAAATTTTTTCTCAATATCCCCTTTTAATGCCCTCACATTCCTTGTTCCCCTTATCTCACTATCATTCTCATAAACTAAAAACTTTCATTGAAATCACTCATTGTCTTACTCTTTCTTTTTGGATATCTCCTTAGAGAATTTATCTTTCTTATTCAATTTCTCTTTCCTCCCCAAAACTCTTAATTCCTCCATAATTTCACTCTCCATGCTCCCTCTCATCCCCTAAAGTTTTCTTTCTTCCTTAAGAAGAAAACTGTTTTTCGCGAATATGAGTGGGAGGCCAAAAAGGAAGAGTAACAATAATTGAGTGTAAAAATATATAAAAAAAAAGCAATTCATTTGCCTCTAATCCTCATCACCATTGAAAACTCTATTAGTAGCCTCTCTATCATCGTTTGTAGCACACTAAATGAGCTCATCTTTTTCTCTTTGCACACGAAATGAGCACACAAATGATCTTTCATCTCCTTACCGCTTTTGATTCCTTGCCCTATGATTGTTATTCAATGAATGATAAGGAAGGCAAAGATTTAATGGCCAAACATGTGTTTCTAAATGATTAAGATTTTGTTAAATTTTTAGTTAAAACTTATTTTTAAATGACTTAATCATAAGAAATTTTTATTCTTTTTTACTAAGATTTTAATGGTATTAGCCTTTGAAATAAAATTAAAAGTTATGAGACTAAACTACAACAAAAAATAATTTTGAATTAAATTAAAATATTTGGTAAAGTTTGATGACTAAATTAAATATTTGCCATTTGGCGAAAGGTCTTCATATTCCATTAGTTACATAACTCTTTGACAGTGATAATATCGATTTTAGAAGAGCACGTGAAATAAAAATCACTTGAAATAACTATTTTATTTTATATAAAAATACATATGATTAGAAGATAAATTTTTTTTTAAAAAAAAAATTCATAAATTTCAATAAAAATATGTCTTTTTATGTGAGCACTAGTCTAAAATATATGGTTAGTGTCTATATATTTTTAAACTATGAGAAGTATCTCTTTATATCATCTATCATTGACAAATTCTTTATGCCATAGCCAACCAAGCGGGTTAGAAATTAGAGTCTTGAAAAAGAGACCTTATGAAACAAGGAAAAAAAAATATAATTATAAAAGTCATGACTCAAATTAATCTCAGTCTATCTTATAATATGCATATTGATCCATTAACTGTGACCTACAATATTAAAGTATGATTAAAAAAATTTTAACCGGCCGAATTAATTATCACAAAAAAAAAAAAATCGTTCGGTGTTTTAGGCAAAATTATTACATTCGAAAGCGAGTGGGTGAATGGGTATTAAAGATTTGTATTGTTTTAATGTAGTTATTTTGGTAAGTGAAGGAATGAATTATTTCCTAAACTTGAAAATTCATTAAGAAAAGAGAAGCTAATTATGTTAACACTAATTTAAGAATTTTCAAGGGAAAGTAAGAGATTTAAAAAATTTATAAACCCTTGCTTGGTTGATAGGGGACACTCTCTCCCTCCCTGCCTTGCAAAATTCAATAATTTGTTCTTCATTATATGTCGTGTTTTTTTTTTTTTTTTTGCTGATTTAGTGCTGTAATTATGATTATAAATTTATAAATTTATTGCTAATTTATTTAAATCGGGAATATTAAATCTGGATTCAAAATCATATAATTTTCTCCTCCTGCAAGCAACTTATAAAATGTACTTTTGTGTTAATAGACCAGCGGGGAGATTTGATTCAGACGTTTATGAGATGATTAATTATTTGACCATAAGATAAGATTTTTAAGAGGAGAGAGGGAAAGGACACGTGTCGTGAACTCACCATAACATCAACATCAATGTTTATGCAATGCATGTACACTGAAACTATTCAACCCAGGTTCTCTTTCCTAGAATCCAGAGTCGCCCTTAAGACACGCCCTGACTCTCCTGACCCAACTTGTTCGGGTGGGTCCGCTCCAATTTCCCATGACCCACATGCACCTCGTTTTTACCTTCTTTACCCCTCCTTCTCCCTCTTATTTACGAAACTACCACTGCCTCTGTAACGCTCTTCGCCACCACCACCACGTCTTCTAGTCTCTCTCACGATCAATCACTCTCTCTCTCTCTCTCGTTTTCCAACCAGAATAACGCCTCTCCACTACACACTCATATATATATATGTATATATTCTCGTCTTTCTTCTTTTTACTTTTTAACTTTTCACCCCATTTTTACGAGATCAATAAATTACCAGTTACCAAGCAGAAAACAAGGACGTCAAGTAACTCCTCTGATAAGACTGTTTCATCTGTTACATATAGGACCAGTCCAAGTTCTCAAATAGAATACGAAATATGAGTTGGAATTTACAAGATTATAGAGCTGAATGTTCAGTATTAAAAACCAAACCCATGAAAGAAAAGGTTTAAAACTTCAAAGTACGTTAGTTTTCATGTGTATACATATATATGTATATGTGAGTTTTAGAGGCATGCATGGGATGTTTTGTTTCAGAGAAAGGGGAGGGAGGAGTTGAGAAAGAGGGAGGATGATGATGATATAGAGTGCAGGCTTTTGACAAATGACAGAGACATTTAAGAGAGAGAGAGAGAGAGAGAGAGAGAAGGGAACGTGGGGTGTTGGGGGCCCAGGTGGTGCGCGCGCGAGACAAAAGAGAGAGAAAGGGGGGGAGGGGCCCACACACCGCCCATGCGCACGGTGTCTTACCAAAACTGAACCCATCATCGATCCAATACCTTGACCTAACCCTAACCCAACACCATTACACCACCCCTTAGCTAATTACCTATTACCCCAACCCTTCTCCCTCTCTCTTTTTTCCTCTTTCTAATTTTCCTCTCTCTCTCTCTCTCTCTCGGACACCCTTTACCAATAACTCCTAGGAATCTCCATGGCCGAAAGAAGCTAGAAAATTACCTAGGACGACACAACTACTTCACTCGCATGAGCTCGAGGGAAGAAATTATGGAGATGATGGCTTCTTGATTCAGCTTTCAGGATAATATTTGGTGGGTATTGTTTAAAAGCTTCTCTTCTTCTCTTTTCAGCTCAAAGTTAGTAGCTTTTGATCCCTCCAAATCTCCCAGATAAAAAAAGAAAGCTTTATATCGTCAAACTTAACACTGCAAGATCGAGTGTCTGTTTCTCTGTGGATTTCAGTGGGTTTGTATGAATGAGAGCTGATTAATTAGGGTTGTAAAGAAGAAACAAGAGATGGATCCAGTAACAGCCCACGGCCGTTCTCTTCCACCCCCTTTTCATGCGAGAGATCTTCATCTAGTACACCCTCATCACCAATTTCAAAACCATCACCAGCCAGCTCAGAATTCCGATCAAGATGATCAGCAAAGCGGGAACAGCGGATTAAGCCGTGGCCAGAAGAGAGATCGTGACGAAACTGCTGGTACCACCACCATAGGAATTGAGGGCAAAGAGCTGGCGACAACCTTAGTCGGCGCCGGAGAAGGTGAAATCACCAGAAGGCCTCGAGGGAGACCAGCCGGCTCAAAAAACAAACCCAAGCCACCCATCATCATCACCCGAGACAGCGCTAATGCTCTCCGCTCCCACGTTATGGAGATCGCTAACGGTTGTGATATCATGGAAAGCGTCACCACCTTCGCCCGGCGCCGACAGAGAGGAGTTTGTATTTTGAGTGGAAGTGGCACCGTCACTAACGTCACGCTCCGTCAACCCGCCGCACCAGGTGCTGTCGTCACTTTACATGGCAGGTTTGAGATTCTGTCTCTCTCCGGCTCCTTTTTACCGCCTCCCGCGCCGCCGGCTGCTTCCGGATTAAGCATCTATCTAGCTGGTGGTCAGGGCCAGGTGGTGGGGGGAAGTGTAGTGGGTCCACTTCTTGCTTCAGGCCCGGTGGTTATCATGGCGGCTTCGTTCGGTAATGCGGCTTACGAGCGGCTTCCTTTGGAGGAGGAAGAATCTGCGGCAGCTCCAGTTCCCGGCGGCAGTAGCGGAGGGCTTGGATCTCCGGAAGGCGTGGGACAACAACAACAGCAACAACAGCAATTAATGCAAGATCCAAATGCAGCTTTCATTCATGGGTTGCCACCAAATCTTTTAAACTCAGTTCAATTGCCGGCCGAGGCTTATTGGGGCACTGCTCGTCCTCCATTTTAACACCATGTTTAATTAATTTCCTCTCTTTGTTTGACCCTTCAATCACCTCTTTAATTTCATTCTTCTTCTCCTACAACATAAAAGTTTATGTTTTGAGCTTTTCGTCTGCTTTTGATAGAAGAAGAATGTACAAATTTGTGGATTTTTGCTGGGTTTTTTTTTCTTCTTTTCTTAATTTCCTTTCTTGGTTATTCCGTTAGAATAGCTTTCTTAAACTGTGCCTGGTTCAAAATAGCTTAAACGACAAAGAAGCTGCAGAGAAAATGGCACTCGGATTCTCGCTAGCTCGATCAATCATTTTGCATTTCTTATCTTGTATGTTCCTGATGATGATCTTGTACTTGTCATAGCTTGTCTGAGAGAATTGTTCATTTTCCGTCACTCTTTAATGGGAAAAAGATTTAGCGAAAAAGACAACTTTTGTTTAGGCTACTTTTACTGGGTTGAATTCAGTATGTCTCCTCCATTGTTACGTGATCCAAGCTCTCCCAAATAATAATTATTTAACAGATTTATTTTTTTCTTACTGGGTTCATATATAAACATATAAATTTCAATTATTATGTCTTATTTTTTTATAATAATAAACATATCAGCAGGGTCTCTTCTTCTTCTTCGTCTTCTTCTCTCTCATTTTGAATTGCTGTCCATAACAGAGTCTCGTTATTATTACACCTAAATGTGATGCACCTTTTGCTATACACTCTTGATGATTATGAGTACATGATTTTTATTATTTTGAAGTTATAAGTGGCTGTTTCAAGGTTGGTGGGAGGATGGCGAATCATGACTTGGAGGAAGCCTGGTAATGGCAGGTTATGGGCTTAGGGTTTTATTATTTTTATTTTTATTTATATATTTGGCTGTAATATATGAATGACAATATTCTGACTGGTTAGGTTTTTTTTTTTTTTAATTTTTTTAAATTTTTTTTTTGATGAAGCAGAGAAGAGCATTGGGTACTGGTTTGCACGTGCGCTCACACGTGCGCTGCTCTGTAAAAAAGCTCCTTTTCGAGGCAGCAACAACTACTACTTCCATGTCAACAACCAAGACAAACAGGTCTCAAGCGTTAGTCTTTCTTTCTTTTCTATCTGTGCTGTCACTGCCAACTGAGAGAAGAAAAGGATTGGGTGATTGAAATGAGAATATATACATATAAGGTGAATATATATATATATATATATTATATATATATATATGTAAAGAGTTTATTGTCTTGATTCTGTAATGGTATGTTCATTGAAACCCTAGCTAGCTCTCTGCTGGTTCTTTGCACTGAAACTTTACCAGCTGAAACAGCATATCCCTTTTTCTTTTTATTTAATTTTGCTTTTTCAATTAACTGTTTCTTTGGATTCTTTTAAAACATGGGTATTATATATATATACATTTGATATTTTATACGTTGTCTTTGCTTTTTATTTTATAATTTCTATATCTTATATTTTTGACATGATCACAACAGTTTCAAAAAATCCTCGCTAGATATATATAGATATGTTACACAAACACACATATATATGATATGCTCATAAACTTCACTACCTTTCTTTCTTTTTTTTATAAAAAAATTTCTTCTTGTTTATATTATAAAGTTCCTCTACTTAATTAATTCTTCTAGTGCTACTTTTTCTATATATTTTTATATACCTAACTTGCTTAATTTCATTCCATAGTCTGCCTAGCTAGGAATTTGAGTAAGGCTTCTAAATCCATTATTATTCATCTTTTTTAATTATTTATAATCTAGAGTGTCAGTTGAATTCGTTGACTAAATAGTTAGTATTTTTATTTCATTTTAAAGATGTAAATTCGAGTTTTGAACTATGCATCTTAATATTAATAGCATATAGGGATCACTAAATTAATTAAATGTATGAAATCTTACTATAACAAGAATGCTATAGATATAACAGAAAAGTTTTCTTTATATTTGATACTGATATTATTTTTTTAACTAAATCACATTTCTATGAATTGTACATTTTAAAAAATACATTTCTATTAATTGTTTGATAAAATTTAATTTCATAATTTTACATTGTTAATTTAACATTTTTGTCAAATTCTTATTGAAAATATAATATTTTATTATCACGTAACGGCTAAACAAAATAATTTCTCTCTACGTGGATCTTATGTGTAGCCGTTAGAGGTAGCTCTCGTCTCTAAATAATTTCATTTATTGAAGGTGTGATTGAGGATGTGAACAAAAATAATAAATATTTATGTAGACGAAAAATTCGGATTGTTTATTAAAACTTAAATATGTATACTTCTGATGAGAAGTTCTAGATTCAAATATTTATCTTTGTCTTTCTTCTCTTAAAAAAAACAGAGATAGAAATGTCTATACAATGCATAACCTAGTTTCTAATATTTGCAATGCCAATGCAATTTCCTTAATGAATCAATACATATCATCCTTCTTTGGTATTTGAAAAACTAATAAGTGGCTAGTTTGTAGTTAATTTAGTTGAACTTCTATAGATATTTTTGAATTGGAAATACATATAATTTGTTAATTAATTGATAAATATACACGAATTGTAATACAATATCATATAAAAATACACAAATGTATAATTTGACTTGAAATTATAGTCTTTTATAAAGAAAGTTACATCAAATTATATTAAAATATTCTATACTTAATTTTCTTGTTAAGAAAGTGTATAATTTGTGTAATATATACTGTTTTCAAAAGTTCAACTCATGATGTCGTTCATGAATTACCTATACATTAACGACGTGGTGATCATCATTAAAGCCTTTAACGTGTTAGTATCCATGGCTATGAAACTTATCCTAAAAACTGTTTAATATATCAATATTATAATTAATTTAATGCATATGTCAACCGGGTCTTTCGCAACTTGTAGGTAGCTTATATTGGTGGACCATAAGTATAGGCTATATATATATATATATATATTATGTTTTCAACAAATGACATGCTGGCTCTCCATGATTAGCATTAGCCTGTTGATTCTTTGAACTACAACTTCAATGATTATCAGCTTCCATAAATAATTGTTTAAGATTCTGTACTACTTATTGTTATTATTCTTACCCTTTTGCTTTTCTAATATCCATCTCAAAATAGCTATATATATATATATAGAAATATATGGAACTAGCCACGATTATGACAACTTTATAGCCAAAAATCCCTGTCCAGAAACTCGTACATGCCATCTCCAAGAATAAATTATATGGAGCATTTTAGTTCTATGTCTTGTCATACCTTGTTTGGACATTCATCCATTATCTTCTTTTAGTATGGGTCCCTAAAATTCTTCAAAATGCTTTTGATCTTTTTGGGAGGGTTTATGAATTCTATGAAGTACGTGCATGATGATCTTTTCTATCTAATTTCCTGTTCTTGTCCCATTTTAATTAGTGATGTACTGTCAATGTAGTTGTGAATAATTTAGTACACTGAATTGTAATAGGATAACTATAGTAATTATATGTATGTGCTTTAAGTATTCCCCCATCCATGTCAATAATTCATTTAGTAACTATGTGCTTCCCCTCATTTGGGGGAACGTTTTTTTTTTGAATTCTTTCATTATCTATTGGACGATATTGTTTTTAAAATAGAATTAAATTAATTTTGATGTGTACAAATCAATCCGAAAATACTTTGATTACTAAGAAAAAATATGAATTTTTATTATTTCGTAACTTAGTTTTGATCTATAAAAGTTGGCCCAAAAACAAGTCGCAGTTTGATTTGCAAGTAACTCGTTTTTTTTTTTCTTTTTACTAATTAATTGATTATGTTGTGTTCAATTCTTATCCTATATATTTGTTTATCTTAATTATTAGAATATTTATTATAATATAAAAATACTACAACAAAATTTAAGAATATATAACATTCTAGTAGAATAATTAGAATTATAATTTTTTTGGTTAATTTAAAATTTTAAACAATTTTATCGGTCCTATTAATTCAAAACCATCAAAAAAATATTAGAAGTGAAATGTTATCTACGTCAATCCAACCTTTATTAACAAAGCATCACACATCACAGAGGAGTTACCATTTCATCCTAAGGCTCCTCGATATCTTTATACTATCTTTGTTATATTCTTATAATATCCATTTCTTGAAATTATACTGCTTTTGAACTAATAAACGGGAACGTGAGGGCTGATTTCGTATCATTTTTATTATGCATTAACAAGTTCAAATGTTCTTAACTACGATATCTTTGATTCTAGTATGTTGTATTCCTATTCAATATTAAAATTTTAATTATATTTAACATGTAAAATTTATTTATAATTTAAATATTTGATACTTAATTTAATAAGTTCAACTAATATTCTAATTCCACAAACATGAATATATATTCTCATCTATCATGAATATATATCCACATGCACATGACAGATGATCCGCTTTGTGCTGTCTACAGGCTTGGCATCCAGGATCTCAACTATGTTTTGACGGCCGACCATCATTTTTTCAGTACACACTTTGACAATTGATTTATTGCTAACCTACAGAACAAGTATAGTTGGTGTTCGTCCTTCAAAAATTGGAAGACTGTGTTTGACATCACTTGTTGTTTACTCTAGAAACAACGGAATGCCTTTGTGTTCGGTGAGAGGCCTTTCAATTTAGATGAATTGAAACACGAGGTTTTTAGGATGATTGAGTATACCTTGCAGACCTCTACTATTAAGCCTACCATATCTGCCCATCACGCCCGAAAAGAGGAAAAGCTCATCAATTGGACATCACCACCCCAGAATTGGATCAAGATCAACATGGACGAGGTTCTCTGTGGGAGCACTGAGATTGCTTGTGCTGGTGTGATTGGAAGAGTTAGCAATGGTCAGTGGCTTGAGGGGCATTTTAGGAACTTTGGTGCTTGCTTCGTCCTTCAGGTTGAGCTGTGGGGGGGCCTTGGATGGTCTCACGTTAGCTTGGAGTCTGGATTCGTGTCATGTTATCTTGGAGATGGATAGTGCTCTTGCTGTTCAAATCCTGAATAAAGTTCTTAATAAATGGTGATTTTTATCAATACTAATTCCAATTTGATTATGGTTATTAAGTTTTGACTTATGAAAGATTAAAATGTCAAGATGCAATATGTCTATTGTGAAGGAAATCGTTGTGTTGACTACTTGGTGAATCAGATATTTTTCTGTTCCTCTAAACCCTATCACATACAGCACTCTCTTATGAAAATACTGAACATCATAAGAGATGACTTTATTGGGGTCTCTTGGTTTAGAATATGTAATATCTAGATGTTTTCATGTTTTCTGTGTGATTCCGCTTGTTTTTTCCCTTTTATAACAAAAAAAAAAAGAATTAACTACTAAAATACGTAACTTAAAATAGATATGAAATTGTCTTGTAATTATGTTATTATTTTAATTTAAAATTCTGTCTCATTTATATTTTATTTCTATTCATATTACCATAATTAATATTTAAATCAAACTCAACCTTATAGTTTCTCAACAGTTCATTGCAGTCAAAACCATTAAAATTAAACCAATATGTTTGAATCAGATGTTACTTAACCATTTTGGTGAAAACAGTCTAATTAGAAATGAACATCGATCCTCTCTTAAATCAAATGAGATCTGATTTGCAAAAGATAAAAATCTGTTGTGAGCAAATCTCTATGGCATAAGCCTAACATATGTGCCACGTTTGATGGATCTTTATGCATATGTAGAAACTTGAACGAGAGAACTTTTTCTGCTAGTCCTTAGTTGTAGACCAAAATTTTACAAATATGAAATTTGGCGCAGATCGTTTTTACCAAAAATTTTAAGCATTCTTGACATTTTCGAACATACAACTCTCCGTAAAATATTGACGCCATCTGCATAGTTCTTCTACTAAATTCTGAAGGAATTGGCTGCAGTTTTTGAGTCCCTAATATAATGCTTTGTGTCTAGCTGCATGCATGCAC